GGGACAGCGAGGAAAGAGCTCCCTTCAAACACATCGTCCCGTGAGACTCATTAAAGGCTCATCAATTACAGCGAGAGCAAACAATTCAGGGGAAAGCAGCTCTGAGGAGCCTTCCTCCGGCCCGCAGTCATTAGCGGCTCTCCGAGCTGCCTCTCCCCAGCAGAAAGGGAGCAGGGGGCAAAGCCAAGCCCAGGGGGAGGAAAAGACAGGGCTGTGATGGTTTGGAACCCAGCAGGACGGGACCAGCAGTCTCCAGAGCATCCCTGTGGCCATGCAGAGCATCCTGCTGGAGAGGAGGGTGCAGGATGGGCTGGAGGTGGTGACCTTCTGCTGCTCCATGCCTGGGGTTTTTGAGGAGCTCAGGGCAGTCAGGGCTGTCTCATGGGAGATGGAGCAGCTCTCAAGGTCCTCAGCCATCAGTTCCCCCAGCAGTGTCACTGCATCGGGTCTGAGGGGGTGCCAGCACCCCAGTGTCACAGACATGTGTTCTGAAAAATCCTTTCCTTAGGGTTTTTTCTCCTAAGAAGCTAAAAAGCCTCAAAAACAAACTGTAAACAATAGTTACCTGCTGCTATAAAATGCAACAATCTTTGATTAACCCATGTTAGTTGTTTCTAATTAATGACCAATCACAGTCAGCTGGCTCAGACTCTGTCCAAGCCACAAGCCTTTGTTATCATTCTTTCTTTTTCTATTCTTAGTCAGCCTTCTGATGAAATCCTTTCTTCTATTCTTGTAGTATAGTTTTAAGATAATATATATCTTAAAATAATAAATCAAGCCTTCTAAAACATAAAGTCATATCCTTGTCTCTTCCCTCATCCTCGGACCCCTGTAAACACAACCACACCCCAAGGCTGCCCCATCCCTGCAGGAAGGCAGAGGGATGAGGAGATGCTCTTTGCCTTTCTCTGCCTCACTTCCCTGCTCTGCAAGTGGGGTTGAGGACAGAAAAGGGGTTTTGAAACAAGTAAGAATCCTTGGAAGGAAAACAAAGGGCTGGGATGGCTTTTTAAAATTACTTCAAAAGTCATTATTAATGAAAGCTCAGGGAAAGGGGGCTGTTTTCCCACTCCCAGCACAGAGGGAGGTTTGCTGCAGGTTTGCTGCACTCACCCCCTTCCTGTGTGTGGGCATCTCCTTCCCTCACACGTGGGCTTGGCACCAGACACCTCTCCAGCAGCTCACTGCTGTGACCTCCAGGATGCTGACATGGAGAATTGCAGAAAAGTGTTCTTTATGGCTGAAAAAAAACCAACAAAAAAAAAAAAAAAGAAAAAAAAGAAAAAAAAAAAAAAGCAAAGAAGAAAGGGAAAAAAAGGACACTTTCCTGTAAACTTTCCTCAGTGCTCCAAGCTCCGTGATGTTCCCTGGTGGAGGCATTGGCAGCATCAGAACCACACTGCACCACTCTGAGGAGAGCTGGATGACCTGCACTAAAATAAACTCATAAATACCCCTTTGTGCAGTCTGTAACATCTTGGGGCACACATTGCTCCCACCACTCCTGCTGGGAGCAGTGTGAGCCAGTTTCTGTTGCGTGCCAAGAGCAGGGTGTGACCTCCTGCCAGCCTGGGCCAGGGTGGGTGTCCCTGGTGCCCGAGGGTGCTGCAGATCCTGCTGGGGCTGCTCCCCACCCATGCTGACTGTCAGCACAGCCCTGACCCACGGAGGAGAAACACTCCCAGCTCCCCAGATCTCCTCCAGAGCCAGAGAGACCATATTGCAACCAGCACTTTGCTGGAGCAGCCCCGGGGCTGGAGCAGGGCCACGGCTCCCTTCTGCAGGACACAGAGCAGGTGTCTGCCCCGCTGCTGATTTTTAAGCCTCATTGCTAAGCAGCTCCTAACCTTTCCCTTCATCCTCTCCTTCCTGCCGTGGCTGGGCGCCGAGGAGGATGAGCAGCTCCCACCCAGGGGACTGGGCTGGTGCCATTTACTCCAGCCTCCACCAGCTGAGTCTTGGCTGGGGAAAGGCAGGCACAGACCATTGTCCTTGGGCTGTGGGCCCAGAGGAGGAGGCACAGGAGCCTGAGGAAGGGGTTGAAGCTGATCCACTGAGCCTGAGCTGCAGGAAAGGCAGGAGGCAGAAACCTCTGCCCAAAATGGGGCTGGCTGAGGGTGCTCAGCTGTTCACCATTAAATAATGCAGCTTGATTGATTGGGCTGAAAAGTGCTGTGCTGTGGGGTCAGCCTGCTGGGGTTACAGCTCCCTGCTTAGATTGATGATCCTCAAAGGTCAAATTCAGAAAGCAATTCCCTGGTAAAATTGATTCTTCAGAAAACAAAACTTTTGCACAGTGGCAAAGGGCCTAGCAGTGAGAAAAATCAGTGACCCAGGCACAGGCAGGTGAGGTGAACACTGCCTCTGCTTCCTATCGACTCAATTTGCCTCGTTTACACCAATTAGGAAGCGAGGGTCTCCCCTGGGAAGAGCAGTGCTCTGTCACACCTGGCTGGGGGACACCCATGATCTCCTCCCTGTCCCCATCCCACTGGGCAGGAGGCAGCTGGGCTGTCCCAGGAGCTGGTGCTGGGCCCCCAGCCCTCCCCAGCAGCAAGGGAGCCATGTGTGTGCAGGAGCAGAGCCTTGGGACCCTCCTGTACCCTCCTCCTGTGTGTGCAGGAGCAGAGCCTTGGGACCCTCCTGCACCCTCCTGTGTGTGCAGGAGCAGAGCCTTGGGACCCTCCTGCACACAGCCATGCCTCAGCAAGGCCAGGTGCTGCTGCAGGGAGGAGGATTTGTAGCTGGAGCCAAATTAATGCTGAACGGGTCTCGCCCTCCTGCCCCTCCCGGAGGCAGAAGCAGCCCAACATGTCTGCTTGGCTCCTGCCAGGAGCAAGGATGTGCCACACATGATTGAAGCTGCCTCAGGCCACCCTGGGGACCAGGTTGTGGCCACCCAGGGCTGATGTACCCGCTGTCACTGGTCTGTGACTCACAGGGTCAAACCCTGGAGCCAAGCACCGCCCTCCAGCTCATCCCAAACTTCAGGGAAAACAAGGGCTGTGACAGTCCCTTCCACTCTTGCACCCACTCCCCTGGGGCTCCTACACCCCTCCTGGGATGCTGAGGCTGTGCCCTGGAGCTGCCCCATCCCCTCACCCCATCAGAGCAGGAGGGAGGAGAGCTGCAGCTCCTGGAGCTGTTACCCCATTCAGGCAGGGCCCAGAGCAGCAGTGGTGAGGCTCTGACCTGCTTTAACCTGCTTTACCACACTATCCCTGCCTGCTTTGCTCTGTCTGCTGCTTTTGAAGCGAGAGAAGGAGGCCAGGCTGTGTGGACACTGAATAATTCAGAGCCAGGCTCCGCAGCACCCCGGGGCTGAGCAGCGCCTGTGCCACAGCTCAGCCCAAACCCTTCCTCACCAGAGCCAGAGGGGACCAGCAGCATGTGAAATGCAGCATCCCCCTGGCTGCAGGCACCAGCCAAAGCCACCTCCCTGCCCTGGCTGTGGGCTGGTGGCTCAGTCCCAGAGCAGCAGGGCTGCTGGTGCTGCCAGCCGTGACGCTGCATCTCCACAAAGTGGAGCACGCTGAGCCTGCCTCTGCTCCCTGAGCCACGTTTTCTTCTTCCCTCCCTTTTACAGGCTGCAAAATTCCCTCCTCTGCTTGGTCAGACACAGGGCAGGGTTGTAAGACAGGGAGAGATTGTTCATCCAGCTTATGCTGAGCCTCTGAGAGGGGTTTGCTAGAATTAAGGACAGGGAGGGGAGGGAGAGGAAAGGAAGAAATCATACATGAGGTCAGCTTATCCTGCCATGCGTGAGGAGAGCACAGCAAAGGCGGCCTCAGGGGCTCAGGCAGGTGCCTGGGGAGCTTCTGGGGGGCTCCAAGGGAGAGGGGAGAGGCACCAGGAGTGGGGGGCATGCACAGCATCAGCACCAGACTCCCAGTTCCAGCCTAATCCAGGCTGTTTATCCCAGTGCAGACAGAGCACAAGGAGCAGCAGGCCACGTTTCCTGTTTCATTCCCTCAGCTCTGCATCTCCTGAGCCCTGTAAAAGGAAGTGCTGCCCCATCAGACTTCTCCACCCCTGCACAGAAGGCACAGCATTACTGTTTTCTAATGCTTCTGCTTCTGGGAGTGTAAATTATTGCACAAAGCAGGGAAAACCGTCAGGCTGGGTTAGGGATCGGCTGTCTGGAATGAAATGAGATGTTTTGGTCCCCAAAGTCTCTGTCTGATGGCCTCAGCTCGGGCCCAGGAGTCACCAGAGCCACGTGTGAGTTATGGGCTCAGGCTCTGCGCTCTGCACAAGTCACCTCCGGAGCCTGAGCAACAGGAATTATTGTGCACAGAGATAATTATTCCCTGCATACTGCACTACAGCTCATTAAAAGTTTCTTAATGTTTGCAAATTGCTGAATAGCGTTTTTAGTTGTTGCCTTCTCTGATGAGGGGGGGACTAGCTGGTGGATGCTGGTGGTGGCTTGTTGTCTGTGTTATTTTGGTCACAGCAGGCTGGGGCTGTGCTGCATGGAGGGAGGAGGGTTTGTGCTGGGCAGCCTCACATCACGGGAGAAAATGTGCCCAGAAAATGCTGCTGGCTCTGGCACAGTGCACAGGGGGCAAGGGCTGAGTGCCACCAGGGTTAGCCCAGCTCCTCCATCCAAAGCCAGACACTGTCTCCAAGTCAAAACCTCCATCTGAGGTCATTACCCAGATTCCTGTAACAGCCTGACATGTGGGGGACTTCTTCCTGCTGTTTTAGCTGCAGATGTTGACCTGCCATCAAACAGGCTGTGCTCCTCAGCTAGACAGTGGGAGTGAGGTGTCTCATCTTGGATGAGAGGCTGCAGATCTGCCCCGGGTGAGGAGGTGGACATTGAACCCCAGCACCAGACACCTGGGGAAAACTGCTGAGTTCAGTGAGAAAATCCTGCAGGAGCAGCAGGGAAGGGGTGCCCAGCCTGGCCTCAGCACATTTTCAGCACTGTGCTGGAGGCAAGCAGGAGCAGCAGCAACACCTGACAGCTCTTCCCTGTCTTCTTCCTCCAGGTGTAAATGCAACCTCCACGCCAACCTGTGCACCTTCAAAGAGGGCAGCCTGCAGTGTGAGTGTGAGCACAACACCACGGGCCAGGACTGTGGCAAGTGCAAGAAGAACTTTCGCTCCCGGTCCTGGCGAGCAGGCTCCTACCTGCCTCTCCCCAACGGGTCCCCCAATGCATGTGAGTAACCTGCAGCCCTGCCCTGGGCTGCACCACACCCACAGAGGGGAGCAGGAGCTCATTTTGTCCTTCTCCAGCTCGAATCAGGGCAGGATGCTCAGCTTTCCAAAGGGAAATGGGTTCTTGCCCTGTCTGGGTACACAGAGAACTGAAGGGATCTAGTGGATGCAGGGGTGATGTGCTGGCTGCTGGCAGAGGAGTGGTGAATCTAATGATGGTCAACAACAAGGATGATGACCTTAGGCTAAGGTATAACCATGGCTTCGGGGCAATGCCAGTTATTGTCCTTTGACAAAGGTGTTATTGAGCACTGTGGGCTGGCTCTGCTCAGCTGCAGGAGTGCTGGCTGCTCTCTGGATGCTGCCTGTGCTTGCTGGTGGCCCCTGCACAGCCCCAGCCTCCTCCAGCTGCTGCAGGAACACGGCTCTGACAGCGGTGGCAGCACTCAGACGAGATGCAGGATGCATTCCCACCGGGAATTGGGGCAGGAGGCACCACAGATGGGCTGGTTCCTCCTGGGCTCCTGTCCACTCCACATTAGCAAACTTGTTTAAATGTCACCAAGCCACAGTAGCCACTCCAGCCTTTCAAGCAGCAGCTTTGAGCATTACCAAAGAGAATCTTTTCTCTCCCTCCCCCCAAATTTTTTGAAAGATTTATGTGCTTTAAGATGATCAAAGCTGAAATTCAGGCTCCGAAGGCCGTGACAGGAATGTTTTGTGTGTGCCAGGGCTGGTAGACGAGCAGGTTCTTTGAAAGGGAACGAGCTTGTCAGCTCCCACCAAGCAGCTGCATTGCTTCAAAGGAGCCTGGGAGAGTTTCTGGTGCTGACAGGCACAGACATGCTGTTCTCTCTCTTTCCCTCCCCTCCATTCCTTGTGTCTCTTCCTATTTCCCTTTTTCCTCTGCTCTTCCTTCTCCCATTCATCTCTCTTCCCATCTGTCATTCAGTCTTCCTCCTCCCCACCCAACTCTCTCTGCTGCTTCCTCCTCCCCACATCAACCTCCTCTTCCTCTGCTCCAGGGGCAGCTCTCTGAAGCCCTCTGCTCCTGCTAGCCCTGCCTCTTCCATCACTGTGCTTTATATTCACTCAGAGCTGAGAATTTCCATGATTCACCCACGTGTTACAGCAGGGAGGCCCTTGGATGTGTTTAAAACCAGACTGGATGTGGCAGTCAGTGCCATGGTTTAGGTGTTAGCTCATAGGTTGGACTAGATGATCTTAAAGGTATTTTCCAGCCTAGCTCACCCTGTGATTCTGTGATTGTTCAGACCATAAAGCCTGTCCCAGTGCTCCTGTGTGCTTGTCCTTTGTCACAGCAGCCCAAGGAAATGGTTAACAGCAAAACCCATCAGCAAGGGCCAGGCTGGTTTTCCTTCCCCAGGTGAAAGGCTTGAGATGCCAGGAGCCCAGACAGCGTTGTCTGGCTGTTCCTGTGCTTTGACAAAAGCAGCTTTTAAGCTGTAGCAGCAAACTGATGTGCCTGTGAGCAAGCCCCCACTAATTAGCTGCTGCTCAGTCCCATGTTGTGTGTCTGTGTGATCTTCTGATGGTGTCCTGCTTCCAGTGACTGGGCTTCCTCTTGTTTTTTGCAGGTGCAGCTGCAGGCTCAGCCTTTGGCAGTAAGTAAAACCCTGACTGAAATGCTGGCATTTAACACCTCGGTGCATGATCCTTGTGGATGTCACTGGGAAAAAAAATATGGTTATTTTTCTATCCATTATCATTTTCCAGGCAATAAGTCTTCCCTAATTGTGCCTCATTTTCTGTCCTGTCAAAGAGTCTTATATTTTCTTCCTCTCACTTCAGCAGCCTCATTTTGCCTCTTCCTCTGGCATGGTTTCCCCCCATGAGGTTCGTTAGTATGGCAGCTGGAAAGGAAATAAAAAAAGACTCTTCAAAATCACCAGTGCTGGCTGTGAAGTCCCCCTCCCCTTAGCCCCCCAGTACTGCAGAATTCTGCTCTGAGAAGGAGCTGGGTGTGAATTATTTGGTGTAGAACCCAGTCTGGGTCACCTTGGGCTATCAATAAAAAAGCATCTAGAGTGAGTGTACATCTGTATGTACACGTGTATGCATATGAACAAATGTCTGTGAGGTGTCAGCAGCAAAGGCACAGCTCAGCAGGGATTTCTGCTGCAAGATTGATGGCAGGAGAGTGCTCCTTATTTAACAAAGCTGGAGGTAGTTTGATATCAAAGAGCCTGGAGTTTTGGGTAAGCAGAAGCCTGGGTTTGAGTGTTGTGGTGCAGAGTGCCCCTCCAGAAGAAACAAATCAGGGAGCTGAATGAATAATGAGTTCTTTGGTTTGCAGGCAAGTGGGAAGAATTGGAGGAGAAATCGTTTCAGGGAAATGCAAATGCAATTAAGAAAGATGCACCTAATAGAATAGTGGAGGACAGGTTTTCTGGGTAAATGAACCGTATTTAGATTTTTAGCAGTGAATTGCTTGAAATTTTCAATTAAAAATTAAAGGTCTCCCTTAAGTAATTCAGGATTTTTAAGAAATAAATGTTTCAACAGCTCAAAATATTCTTCACCTTTGTCTTCAAAACCATTGTGATAACTTTTTTCCCTCCCATTTACAAAGCTTGGCATCCTCAGCACCACTTTTTTTTCCCTGGAAGCTGGGAGGGTGCTGGGAGTGATGTGCAGGAGGAGGACAGGAGGGATTTATGTCCAAGGCCAGTTAAGGAGAGATTATTTAGCCCACATAGGAGACTAGAAGTGACCTAAATTAAGTATTTAAACTAGCTCAGGGCTATTATGAAATTAAGCACGATAATCTGCATGAAGCAGTGGGACAAACAAGGACAGGAGGGCAGCAGGTGTAAGTTAAGCAGGAATTTGTGTCCCAGTGTTATTTTAGTCAGGTTGTTGTGGGGAGCTTTGGGGTGGGATCACTCCTGGCTCCTCGGGGGCTCTGCTGACCCCCAGCCATCCCAAAATCTGAAGGGTGCCACTAGAAACAAGGGTGCCAATGGTCCTGGTTGGCTTTGAGGGTGCCAGGTGATTTGGGAAGGGGTGGCAGCAGGGGATGGAGCACAGCTGGGCACGTGGGCACCAGGCAGTGGGAGCACGGCCTGGCCTGGGGGCTCCCTGGCAGCTCCCGCCCGCTCCTCACCCCATCCCTGCCCAGATGTGCCTTCATCTCCCCCTTTCAGCTTAATTGGCAATTAGTTTATGATGGAGCTGTAAGTATTTAAGCCAATATCTGCACCAAGAGAGTAAGCTGATACAGCCCCAGGCTGCAGCCCCTGCTCACACACACACACACACACACACACGCCCTGGCTGCGGGAGCCTCATCGAGCCGCGCCGCCTTAATCCTGCCGGTGCCCCAGTTGTGACCACGCTGAGAAATCTGTCACCAGTCCAGGCCAGCAGCAGCAGCAGCAGCCTCACTGTGTGCAGGCTGGCATGGAAACCCACCACCCCCCCAGTAAGTGCCTCCCAACTCTTCTCTTTGCTTGTCAGCGTACGAGCGGCCGCAGCGAGTAAACACCGCAAAAACCACCACTGCAAAAAGCACCACTGCAAAAACCACCACTGCAAAAACCACCACTGCAAAACCCACCACTGCAAAACCCACCACCACCACCTCAACCACCACTTCAACCACCACCTCAACCACCAGCAGCAGCAGCAGCACCCCCCTACCAGCCACCACCACCCAGCCAGGTGGGTGCCACGCTCCCTGCCCCGCTCAGGAGCCAGGACTCCGCTCCTCGTTCAGCTGCTGTGTTGGTGGCCGTGGGTCTCTGCTCTGTAGGATGATAAAGGGACATGGATAAAAATCACCCTGGCTTGGTTCACCTTTCACCAGGCAGCCCTGGTTTGCTGCTGTCTCTGGCACAGCTGCTCTCACAGCTCCGTGACAAGCAGGGCAGGAAGGCAAGGAAGAGTTTTTTGATCCATGATAAATTTAAACCACGTATTTCTCTGTAAGGAGAGGGGAATTGTACCCCATCCTGCTCTACCCCTGACCTCCTGCCTCTTGCCACCAGACCCAGAGTAGCCCACAGGTTTTGCCCTGTCCTTGCTGGTTGTCCCAGTCCTGCACCAAACCCATGGATGTACTGCAGGTGCAGTTTTCCTGTTGCAGAATTCCAGCATTCCCCAGGTGGCTGCTGTCCAAGCAGCCCAGGAGCGTGCAGAGCTGGAGTTCACACACGTGCCAGAAACATCCTTTCCTAATTTCTGAAATCTCCCAGTGGAGGAAAACTTTTGTCCTTTTTCTGGGGGTTCCTCCTTCCCTCCTCCCCTGAACAAGGAGACAGCAGTTTCTCCTTGTCTTTTGGAAATGAGCAGATAAAACTTAACAGCAGGACATTTTTTTAAGCTGTTCATGGGGGAATTAGACACGCATTCCTCCCTTTGCCATGCTTTCAGGGCCTGATATTTCCCAGGAGGACGTTTTACACCCACAGCATGTTAGTAACAGTCTGTCTGGGGGAGCTGCCAGAAGCCAGTCAAAGGGATGAGGAAGCTTGATTGCATGTTTATGCAAATATAGATATATTCATGGAAGTACCCTGCTTGAGGAGTTAATCAGGGAGCTGAGGGTTTAGGTCCAACTTCCATGGAGTTGGAGTGACCCTGGAAAAAGATTGCAAAGCTCAGCTCTGTTAGGAAGAGCTCCTTTCCCAAATCCACCTGTGCAGGAGGAGGTGAGCATGGAGCTCACCCATCCCCAGCAGGGCCAGGTGATCACATCCACATCCACACAATGCACTTGGGCTGATCTGATTTTTATCCATGCTCACCTGTAGTGACATTTTAGGGCTGTTTTCTGCTGTGTTCGTGTGGGTAGCTGCTTGGTGTGCCTCTTGTATGATTTGCAGTGCTCTGCCTTTGTGGCACCTCTGGCACAGGCAGGACAGTGTCTCTGGGGAGTTGGGGTGCTGGGGGTAACCTCTCCTGCCAGGCTGCTCTGAGGCACCTGAGAGACATCTCAGGGTTTATCCCTTCTCCAAAACCTGCTTCCTGGGCAGAGAAAATGCTTTCCTACTGCTTTCATTAACTGACGGCAAGGGACAAAATTAATAAATTGCAGCCCAGCTGCCAGGTTGTTGGCTTGATACAGACAGGCCTGAGTTCCTACTCCTCACCCCATCCAGATCCCCATCTGTGCTCCTGCAGAGCCAGGTCCCAGCCCAGGATGGTGTCCTGGAGGGGCTGCTCCACAGAAGAGGCAGCCAGGGCCACCAGCAGCTCAAGGACCTGCTCTTACCTGGGCAGCACGAGGGGCTTGATGCCAAAGTCCACTCTGTGCCCCTGACCAGCAACAGGGAATCAAGGCCCAGCTGAATTCTGATCTGCTTTTGGCCAGAGAAGTTCCTCCTCCATGAAAAACAGAAAGTATTTCTTTAAAACCATGGCATTCCCAAGGGCCTGCAGATCTAATTCACCTGGGCCCCAAGGGAAACCCTTTGTGAAAAAGGTGACCCCTTGAACTCCTGGTAGGGCACGTTTGAAGAAGGTGACCCCCAAGCAGGGTCAGAATCCCAAAGTGAGATACTCTGTTGTAACCCCCCCTTCTGAATTTTAGGAGCTTTAAAATCCCTCCTTGCTCTAAAGCCAGAATCCCAAAGTGAGATACTCTGTTGTAACCCCCCCTTTCTGAATTTTAGGAGCTTTAAAATCCCTCCTTGCTCTAAAGCCAGACATTTAAACCAGTCCTGCCGTCCCATCCCTGCGCTCTTCTACCCCCTAACTGACACTCTGCCTTCTGCCCTCTGAATTTCTGAATTTCTGCTTCCCCCCATAAGCAAGCATCATCAGACCAGCCTCTGAGTTTGCTGCCTCAGTGCCCGTGACAGAAGCCCAGAAAAACCCAGGTATCTGAAGGCAGCCCGGCGTGTTTTTCCCTGCTCCTCCGCACAGCAGTGGGTGCAGCTCGGCAGGAGCAGCGTGGCACGTAGGCTTAGAGGAGTAGATTAGATTTGGGTTGTCTCTGGGTTCCATGGAGCTGCTAGACATCTGCTTCCTTTGGCTGCTGGTGGTGTTTTCGTGGTCAAGGTGGAGCTGTGGTCGTGCTGTAGGCTGTAGGATGCTTTCTGTGCCTGGTGAGAGGGGAGAGAGGGAGGAGTTCACGGGCAAGGCATGGGGTCTGCAGGCAGGGGAAGCTGCCAAAGTGGGGAGAAGGAAGAGAAATCACAGAGTTACCCTTAGGAAGATGAATTAGGTGCTATTCTCCTTTGCCTTCTGCAGTTCTGTTATTTCAAAGCCTTCCTTGAAACCTGTCCACTTCTTCCTTGCCATTTGTTACATTTTTTCCCATGTTCAAAATAAGCAAAAAAAAAAAAACCCCAAAACACCAAAAACCCCAAACTTTTCCTTTTGATTTTTTTTTTCTGTTTCAATTTTCCTCCCTCTGGTTCATGGCAGTCTCAGCAGTGCCAGTTCACCTCTGGGAAAAACAGAGCCCTGCTAGGTGGTCACAAGCTCCAGCAGAAATTGAGCAAGGAGAGCCTGGCTTTGGGGAGGTCCTGCAGGAAAGGGATCCCTGAGAAGGACTTTGCCCCAGTGGTTTTTGCTATGAAATGTGACTGACTTCTTGGTTCAATTTATTCCACTTCCTCAGAAGGCCACCAAGAACAGCAATTTCCATCAGAGCTGCCCATCGTTTCCCATTTTTATGAAGTGGGTCTGGGGCAAAATGTGTCTCTGTCCCCCTCTCAAAATGTAAAACTATCCATTATGGCCCAGAGCTACAAAGGGAAAGGTTCTCAGGATAATGAGCATTAATAATTTTCTTGGCTCTGTAAATGCGATTGAGTGGAGGTGTATGTGAATGACTAAAAAGCAAAATGCCTCCAGGGCTGTTTTTTATTGTGACTCTAATTAAACCCTTGCCAATTTGCACAGGGATTTTTTCATATTCTCTTTAACACCGTATTAATATCAATTGGTTTCCACTTTCCAGCTGAAAAGGACAATGTCTATCACCTTCTCTTAGAGCTTGTCATTAAAAAAATAATCTTTTTTTTTTCTTTTTTATTCTGTATTGTTTATCATCCCCTTGATGAAGCTGGGAAATCACATTTCTCTCCTACTCGGGTTTGTCCTTTGAAACTTGGCAAGAATCAAGAGATTTTTTTTTTTTCCTCCTCCTCCTTATGTTACCCAACTGGAGCTTGAAATTAATAATATGGCTTTTAAAATTTTTAGTCCCTGGTTTGTTTTCTAGCAAACCTGAAGATTGTTACCAATATTGAGAAGCAGGGGAGGGGGATGGAGCCAGTGGGGGTGAGGGTTTGCAGGGAAACCAAACAAGTGAGCTACACAATTTCTTGCTGCTTCAACTTCTCTGCGGTGGCTGGAAATTCTTTGATTTGTGTTTCTGAGGGAGCAGCAGAGCCTGAAGGAGGGTGTGGAGGCTGGGATTGGAAGCCAGGGCTTGGTGGCTCCATCCCAGGTGTGTGTGGTGTTGTTTCAGAGCAGAGGGGCGCAGGCTCAGGTGTGAGCACAGGGCAGCTCAGCACCCACTGCCCCTCACAGTTCATCCCCCATGGCACAGGGCTGGGTGCTGGATTTGGGGCTCTGCCTCCCTGTGGCAATGCTGCAGGGCTCTTGTGGGACTCCAGCTCCCCCAGTAACACCATTTTCCCTTTGGTCACTGCAAGACTACCCCGGCTTGTCCGCAGCTGCCCCGCTGCAGGTGGGCTCTCCCCCAGCCAAGGCTGGCCCAGGAGCACAAGGTAGGAGCCACAGGGCTGAGCTGGGTCCTGCCAGCGACAACCAGCTCAGAGAGTGCTGTAGTTCCTAGCTCTGCATCTGTGTTTTCCATGGCTCTCTCCTCCTCCTGCCCAGCAAGGAGCTCGGGGCTGGGCTGTGCCCTGCACGCAGCTGGGCTGAGCCTCGGGGCTGAGTCTGTACATGAAAGATGAGCAGGGTGAGTGGTGGAAGGGATTGTTCACAGCTTGCTGCTGGTGTGAACAGAGAGGATCATGGAAATGCTGTCATCTCCCGAGGCTGGAGCCTGTTTGTAGAGCAGAATCTCCCTGTGAGTGGATGGGCCTGTGTTGTTCAGATCCTTCTGATGCATTTCCTGGCTCAGGCTCCTCTGTGGCTGCTCTGGGTGGGAGCCTTGGGAGGTTTTTCTCTGGCTGAAGAGAGAAAGTTGAGGCTGAGGCTGCTCCTCCTCAGGGCTCCCACCACACACACGCTCTGGTAGCTGCCCTTGGTGCTCAGCTCCCCTTTCCCACCTGAGATTGCTGTAGCTCACTCCAGCCATAGGCTTTAGCATCCCTCCTGTGCAGATCCCGGCATCCCGGGCCTGTGTGGGCTCACAGAGAGGCAGAGCTGCTTCTGCTGCAGTGACAAGGATGGAGCTACACCAAGGGGCCAGGAGGGCTGACAGCCTTGCCTTGGCAGTGCTCTGCAGATCTGGCTTCTCTCTGTGCCTGGGCAGTGCCAGGACCACATGCCAACGCTCAGCTGTCCAGCAGCTCCCACACCTTCCCCTTAGGAATATTTTTCCTGCCTCTCTTCACACTTAGAGATGCTAAATTTGAGGAGACTTTGTCTCTCCTTCCTGCTTCAGCACATCCTCAACCAGATAGAGCTCCAGTGACCCAGCCTAGACACCTGCCTAGAGCTTCTAGTGTCCCTTTGCCACCCTGCCAAGCAAACCAGGGGGGATCTGTTTTAAATCTGATATTCTCTCTGATGCCACCTGTGATGATCTACCAAACACAGCAGCACTTGGAGAGAAGCTGAAGCCACCAGAGCCTCCTGAGAGCATGAGAGGTAAGGCCAGGCCTGTCCCCAAGTGGGACAGGGCAGGTTTCTCCCTCAGTGCCACAGGTCAGGACACCCAGCTGTCCTCAGCACAGGCCCCCATTGTACAATCTCCTACTCAGAGCATCCAGATCAGCTTATTGAGCCCCAGGGAGGCCTTTTTGGGCAGTTTGGGGCCAAGGAAAGCCATGGAGACCAGCAGGGCCCTGGAGACCAGCAGCTTCAGGGTTGGGGGCAGGAGTGGGTGCACCCTGACCATGGCCGAGCCCATGGGGAGCAGGGCCACCTCCTGCCACCACTGCCACTGTGAGGATGTGACCAAGACAGGTGGCTGGAGCTGGCCACCCAGCACTTGCAAGGGCATAAACTCCACAAAAAATCCAATGGATCCAGACCCCACTTCCAAACACCCCGTGGGACCCCAGTGCTGCTCAGCCTGGCCTCGAGAAAGCACAAACCCTCCCAAGGCTTGGCGGCCTTTACCCCCAGGGCTGGGTCATTCTGTGTGGGCAGCACAACCCCCAGGGAGCCCATTCCAGCTGGGACAGCCCTTTTCCCCTGAGGGAAGGGGGTAACGTGGCCCTGGAGCCCCCTCCCAGCACAGCTCTCTGACCTCTCCATCTCCGGGCACAGCGGCTCCGAAGAGCAAACCAGGGCGCACAGCACACTCTGCAGGCAAGAAGCACAAGAAAAAGACAGGTATGTGCTGCTGGGGAAGGGCCAGCATGGAGCAGCACCTGCCCTGCAGGACCCTCGGGCAACCCCTGCCAGATGCCACCTCCGTAGCACTCGTCCTCCTGGCAGATTTTTGGGTGCCAGCTGGCCTGGCCTCCGTGGCCAGTAAAAAATGGTTTGTGAATTGTAGATCCTTATCCCCAGCCACACCAGCAGGCACCCATAAAGGGGGCAGGTGTGAGTAGCTGCTCCCAGCTCTGCAGCAGTGCTGTGCATCGAGTGATGCATGAAACACTCAATGCATGGATAGGACTTTGAGGAAGGGAGGGGGAAGAGGAAAATGTGGCAGCTGCAGAAATGGATGCCAGTGCTGCCAGCACGGTGCTCTTGGCTTGGCATTGTTCTCGTGGCAGGGGAGGGCACGGGGTGCTGCCAAGCTGGGAGAAAAAGCCTTTCTCTGATTTTTCTCAAGCATCCTCAAAGAGCTCAAAACTCATCCGGCTCAAACCAAACTCTGGCCCAGTGGCTCCCATTGAAACATACAAAGGTAAGCAGAGGGAGGGAGGAGCTCCAGGGCTCCCTGACCTCACTCAGGTGATGTGGTCCTGCAGAATCAGACATGGAGAAGGTGGGGAGGGTCTGTCTGAGTCGTGGTTAGCTGTAGGCTGTGTGTAGCAGTGCTTCCCTAGTCTGAAACAACTTGCAGAAAGTTGTTGGGAATTGCAGCAAGCAGAATTTGAGCTGAAATTCTTTGGATATCAGTTGATGAAGCAGAAGTTACTTCACAGAGATCACAAGAGACTCCCAGCTCCTCCTCAGGCAGCTGTGAACCATGGGGAAACCTCTGCCCTGCCCCTTCTTCCCTGGTCATCATGTCATTGATCACATCTCCTCCTCCAGCTGCATGTGCATGCCAGCCCACACCCTCCCCTGCCATCCCTCTGCCATCCTTCAGTGTTTAATGTCCTGCTTGGAGCACAGCCCCAGCTCTAAAGGCTCTGAAAGCTCAGACCTGGCTGAGGCTGTTTCTGCTTATGTTATTCCCTGTCCTTGCTGGCTGGGAACTCCTGACCAGGCCAGCTGGGCCACAACTCCTTTTCTCCTGAGTTGTACATCTCACTGTATAAACTCAAATATCTACAAACTCCCAGTAAGATCCAGCACCTGGGTTTCACCAACCCAAGCCATGGTAACAAAAAGCAAACACAAGAAGCACAAAATCCAATCCCCCTGAGTACAAATTCACCCACAGATTGTTTTCTAACACGTGCCCACAGCTGAGAGAGGTCAGCCCTGGGGATGAGAGCACTTGGCCAAGTGATGGTGGCATCTCCCACCCCACCAGCAGCCTTTGCAGGCTGTGCTGTGCCAGGCAAGCCCTGGTTCAAACCTCCACACACCTGTCCACAGCTGTTGAAGGATCCCACACAAGCCACACTGCCTTGCATAGGCTGATTTTAAACATTTAACCCGAGAGCCAGCACCCTTCACAACAGGAAGGGGCTGAGAAGGGACACAGAGGGAAAAGGAGAGGCTGTGAGGTTTTACCTGGACACACAGCAGCTCCATCTCCACCAGAGCACCTCTGCCAGCCCCATCCTACTGTTCCCAGCGAGGCAGAGCCTTTGCCAGGGCTCCTCACAGCTCCTGCAGCCTCCCCAGAGCCAACCCAGGCTCTGGTCATTAACAAGGCAGCTCTGTAATTAACACCTGACTCCCCTCCACATGCAGTTTCTGAAAGAAACCAAGTCCTGGGCTTGCAGGGGGTTGGCTCCTGCCTGCCCACACCCCAAGGTTCCAGGACCCAGACTCTGCTCTGCTCTCTGAGTGATGATTTCCAGCCTGATCCCCCCATGGTGGTGGAGAGCTGTGTGCACTCCTCCTGCCAGCACACCCCAGCCCTGCTCTGGCAGTGGCCATTGCACTCCCTCGGGCAGGACCCTCCTCCACAGCACCAGGGGAAGCCACTCCATGCCCATGTCCCCAGCTGTCCCCTCCTCTCCTCCACAGACTGCGAGTGCTACGGCCACTCCAACCGCTGCAGCTACATCGACTTCCTGAACGTGGTGACCTGCGTGAGCTGCAAGCACAACACGCGGGGCCAGCACTGCCAGCACTGCCGCCTGGGCTTCTACCGCAACAGCTCCGCCGAGCTGGACGACGAGAATGTTTGCATAGGTGAGAGCAGGGAGTGTCTGCATAGGGAATGTCTGCATGGGTGAGAACAGGGAGTGTCTGCACAGGGAGAGTGTCTGCATAGGGGAGAGCAGGGAGTGTCTGCATAGGGGAGAGCTGGGAGGGTCTGCACAGGGAATGTCTGCATAGGGGAGAGCAAAGAGAGCAGGGAGAGTGTCTGGAAGTGTCTGTGTAGGTGAGCATAGGAAATGTCTGCATAGGTGAGAGCAGAGAGTGTTTAAGTGTCTACACAGGTGAGCAGGGAGAGTGTCTGCATAGGTGAGAACAGAGAGCAGGGATAGTGTCTGTGTAGGTGAGCACAGGGAATGTCTGCATAGGTGAGCAGGGAGAGTGTCTGTGAGTGTCTGCACAGGTGAGCACAGAGTGTCTGTGAGTGTCTGCACAGGTGAGCAGGGAGAGTGTCTGCATAGCTGAGCACAGGAAATGTCTGCATAGGTGAGCACAGGCAATGTCTGCATAGGTAAGCACAGGAAATTGCTGTGTAGGTAAGCACAGAGTGTCTGTGAGTGTCTGCACAGGTGAGCATGGAGAGTGTCTGCATAGGTGAGCACAGGAAATGTCAGTGTAGGTAAGCACGGCCCCAGCCGTGTCTTCACTCTGAGTGGGCCTCATTCAGCCCCTCTCTGGAGGGTGTGGGGCCCACCTGCATGCTCAGCAAGGATGGCAGCTGGTACAGTCTCTGCAGCCTGCCAAGGCATCTCTTCCCTGAAAACAAAGCCTAAAAATTAGAATCACACTTTGGGTTGAAAAATGTTTAGTTCCACCCGCTGCCATGGGCAGGGACACTTTCCACTATCCCAGGTTGCTCCAAGCCCCATCCAGCCTGGCCTTGGACTCTTCCAGGAATCCAGGGGCAGCCACAGCTTCTCTGGGCACCCTGTGCCTCACAGTGAAAAGCCCTTCTGACTGAATTCAGATGCCTTGCTCAGCTCCAAAGAGGGCTGGCCTTTGCCCCCGTGGCTGTTTGCACTGTTGGGACCCCTCAGGCCAACGTGTCCTCCCAGCCCCTTGGTCCCTAAGCTCTCCTCCACAGCACATCTCCAGACCTCTCCAAAGCCCCCAGCCCCTCCCTCGGGGAGCTGAACCCCGGGCAGGACAGGCTCTGACCTCCCTGTCTTTGGCCAGAATGTAACTGCAACCAGATCGGCTCCATGCACGACCGCTGCAACGAGACCGGCTACTGTGAGTGCAGGGAAGGCGCCACGGGGCCCAAGTGTGACGACTGCCTGCCCAACTACTACTGGAGACAGGGCTGCTTCCGTGAGTACCCACCTGCAGGGCCAGCCAGTGAGAGGGGCCTCCAAACAGGAGCAGCACCTCCAGCACCGCTGGCTCGGGTGCCCCGCGATGCTCGGGGTGCAGGGGGAGCAGGTTCCGGCCATTCCTCCCAAATCCAAAATTATTTTATAGCTTTGGCCATGGAAAAGTTATAGCTTTTTAGCTATATAAAGTTATAGAGATATGTAGCTTTATAGCTTTGCACCCCTCCACTGCATTCTGCTGGCCTTGGAAGGGCTCTAGTCTTGTATTTGTGGGGTTCCCAGATGAACCCAGACAAAGGAAGGAAGGAGGAATCTGACTCCATGTTTTTAGAAGGCTAATTTATTATTTCATGAGCTATATTATATTAAAGAATACCATACTAAAACTACACTAAAGAATACAGAAAGGATACAGACAGAAAGCCTAAATCTGACTCCATGTTCTTAGAATGATAATTTATTATTTTATGATCTATATTATATTAAGGAATACTGTACTAAAACTATACTAAAGAATACAGAAAGGATACAGACAGAAGGCTAAAAGATACTACTGAAAAACTCATGACTCTCTCCAGATCCTCAACACAGCTAGCTGTGATTGGCCAATAAGTAAAAACAATTCACATGAAACCAATGAAACAATCACCTGTTGGTAAACAATGTCCAAACACATTCCAAAGCAGCAAAACACAGGAGAAGCAAATCAGATCATTACTGTTTTCATTTTTCTCTGAGGCTTTTCAGCTTCCCAGGAGAGAAATCCTGGGCAAGGGGATTTTCCAGAAAACATGATGGTGGTACTCTAGCGCTGGGAGGGCTGGATAATTTAACCCTAGGAGCTAAAATCTAATTCCTGCAGCAGCCAAGGGATTTAACCCTGCAGGTTTAACCCTGCCTGCACCTCTCATCCTGCAGTGGGATAATTTAACCCTAGGAGCTAAAATCTAATTCCTGCAGTAGCCAAGGGGTTTAACCCTGCAGGGTAACACCTGCTCCTCTCCCTCTCACCCCCTAATTTAACCCCTAGGAGTTCAAATCTAGCTCCTGCAGCAGCCAAGGGGTTTAACCCTGCAGGGTAACACCTCTCCCTCTCCCCCTGCAGCCAATGTGTGCGATGACGAGCTCCTGCTCTGCCAGAACGGCGGCACCTGCTACCAGAACCAGCGCTGCATCTGCCCCGTGGGCTTCAAGGGCGTGCTGTGCCAGCAGTCGCGGTGCGAGGTGGACAAGAAGGACTGTGACGGTGCCCCCGGTGCCCGCGGCAGCCCGGCCGCCCTGGCGCTGGGGATGCTCGCCCTGCAGCTGCCAGGCTGGGTGGATCTCTGAGGCTGCACAGCGAGCCCAGCCCGGGGACCTGGCGACACCGAGGTGACGGGTGGCCGTCCCCAGCGCCTCCTCCTCCGCCTTCCTTCACGCTAGGACTTGCACAACGTCTTTGGGGCCACTTTCCAAGCAGAGAGGTACGCAGGGAGCCCGGCGCTGGGTGCTGCCCGCGGGGCCAGCCCGGGCTCCGTGCCCGCTGGGGACACGGGGACCGCAGCAGCGACATTCTGTGCGGGACACGGGGACCGCAGCAGCGACATTCTGTGCGGGACACGGCCCGCCCGCCCTCCTGGCACAGGGATCTGTCCTGCCCCGCACAGGGACCTGTCCTGCCCCGCACGGGATCTGTCCTGCCCCGCACAGGGCGGCCCGGGGCTCCAGAACAGTGCCGCGATCCGAGGGATGGTTTTTTTATTATTACTTTATTTACTTTGGTATAGGCTGGGGTGGTGTTTTTATTTTCCCTCCTCTTAGCGTCCTGGTTTGGGAGAGCCTGTGGTGACAAGAGCAGAGCCCCAGCACGCAGGGGACGGGAGGGAGGGGAGAGGGGACTCCGGTCCCTCCCTGCTGCAAATCCCACATCCCACCACGGGCCCGGCCTGGCCACGCACATACTGTTGCCTACGACTGTAGTTGCTGCATTGATTTTGTATTTTCATGGCTGGGTTTTGTTTTCTTGCACTTATGGAGAACACAGGGGCCGTGAGGCGTTTGGAACGTGAGGAGTGCAGTGTCTTATCCACACATGTCCGTATGGTGTACGGGTCAAATTCTTCTTTTGGTAGAGACTTATTTTTGTTTGGATTAAATGTTATAACAGAACCACGATCTAAAGGGACGTTTTACCATGAGCATTTGATTCTGGTGTATCCTCCTCCAGTAAAGCAACTATTAATGGCTGCTTCATCACCACGTTTTCCTTTTTGTGTGCACAGTTAATTACAGGTAAAGACTTATTTTTGGATTCATAATGTCCTCCTGTGTTTTCTGAGTCACTACCAAGGTGCACCACATGGTGAGGGAGAGGGGAGGGAGAGAGAGGTTGCCTCATCACTGAGAGCTGTTAATTATTTCTCCTAATTACTTTGCTGAGCCTAGGTTAGACTACTAACTGTAGACAATGAGCAAAGTCTGAGTGATATATTAAGCTCTGGTCTTGTGTGAAAAGGCCATTTCCAAACGAGCCTGCAGCAGGAAATGGCTGGCTAGGGCAGGGATGCTTCTCCATGGGGACCTCAGCTGTCCCAACCCCACTGCAGCCCCCTCCAGCTGGTGCCATGATGTAGCTTTGCAGAAAATGCTGTATTTTAAAGCAACCACAGCCAGGATTTTTAAGCAGCAATATAGAGCTCACAGGGATTATATTAACTCATTAAGGCTCATCAACATGCTCCTGTCTGAGGAGGCATTTACAGCCAAGCACATAAATGAAGGCAGGAGAAACCAGAGACAAGAAAAGAAGTAACTCAGTCAGCTCAATGGGAATGTCATAAACACAGGAGCCCTGGTGTGGTCATATCCAAATATCCAAGCCAGGAGATGACTGAGTGCAGGTTTAGAGGATGGAGGACACCCCCAACTCCAGCTGGTTCAGTTCTAGGCTGGTTTCTTTGACAGGTGAGCTTTGGAAAAGGAGAGAAAACCCTGAGTGAAGGTGCAGGATGGGTATTGTCACTTCAGAGAGCAACACACATTCTGAGCAGGGTTTAACATCACAGAGACAGAGCACAGGGCTTAGTTAATCCACTGTAAAGTAAGAGGGGGTTCAACTCACCCTGATTTGCTCCTTGAGGCAGAGGGCTGGCCCCAGCCTTGCCTCCCTGGCTTCAGCACAGTTGGTTGCTCTCTGTTGGACACTCACTCATTTCTTTGTGCTTTCTGACTGCAGCAGACCTTAAATATGTTACAGTTCCTACAAGTAATAGCAAATACTGTAACAAGATCAAGATCTCTAATGGCACTTCTGGAGGGTGAAGCAACATTCTCCTTTGCCTGCACGACTGTTTTTCTCTAGAATATTAGATTAAGCAACAGAAAATTTACTACTTCATAAAGCCAGCCAAACTCTGCACCCAGCAGATTCCCTGCAAACACAGACTTTTATTGCAGGAACGTGCCAAGCAGCAGCAGCACCAAATTCCTGCAGAAAATAACCTCAGAAGGGCACAGCAAAGCTCAGACCAGACCAGGAATGAAGGCTACTGAAAACTACACTTGACCTTTCTAGGTTTGGGGCTTTTTTCTTGGTTGGTTGGGTATTGGCTGTTTGGCTTTGGGGTTTTAGAGTCACATGTGCTGTAGAACTTGGAATCACAAAATACAAGGCAGAAGAGAAAATCTCTCACACAAAACTTACACTTAGTGTTCAAGAAAACAATTTAAAGCTTCTGAGATCTTCAGCACTGAAGACCCATTAACTGCAAACATCTGTTAGCAGGGTGTCTGCACAAAGAGAACAGAGCATCATTGAAACAACACAGAGAAACCATCACTGCAAGTACCCACAGCTCCCAAAGTTCATCTCTAAGGCAGAAGTTTTGTACATCAGTTATTGCTCCCAAATGGGAGAAGTTGTCCAATGAGCTTGATACTTTACTTGTGGAAAGGTTACCCAAAAGGTACTTCTCCTTCTGAGAAAAGCCACTTATGCTCTTTCAAGAGGTTCCATGTGCATCCTGTCACCAGCATTTGATTGGTTTGGAAAAGTTTTTAAATTACACTTCTGTCTGCAAAGAGTGACCTCTCCAAACAGCACAAGTAGAGCATTTGATTTTTCTTGTTTACTTCAAATTCTACTCTGATTTTAACTATTCAGAGTTCTGAAAAATCTAAACAACCAAAAGCCCCAAGGCAAGAAAAACCTTCCTGCTGCCCATTTGCTCACTTGCCAGGTAAAATGTTAAAGCTACAGTTCCTGGGAGCTGGAGACAGGCGTGGGGAAAGAATTCCATTGCCAGTTCCCAGGTATGTTATTTGTTTTTTTTAAAGATGAGGCAGCAGACATCTCATCTGCAAGTGATTCGTGAGGAGCCCTGCAGAGGCTGGAGAGCGAGAGAACCAACACTTTTTAATGGGAATAAAATGGTCTCACTGCCCTGTTCTGCTCTGTAATTTGCTTTCATGAGAAGCCTCAAATGTAAATAAAACAAAGTGTAAAGGAAGAGCTGAATGTTCTTGCTCACAAATAAGAGCAGAGCTGGGTTTTGGAGAACTTTATATCTACATCTTCTCAGCCCTTCTGGCTGGGAGCTGGAGAGTTTGGCCACAATCACACAGAAAATGGCTAAAAAATCACATCCTGATTTGAGATGCAGAGAAAACCTCCAGACCCTCCTGAAGGCTCCTTTGGCTTTTTGATTCTCAAGGTGCTCTAACAACTTTCACTGCAGGGTGAAACATGTGAGGAAAGCCTTAACCCACCCATTTTCACCATATAACTGCCAGCAACAACAGCAGGCTCCAAAAGCCCCATCCTGACCCCACTCTGGGTCACTGCAGGGGTTAAAATAGAGGGGAAACTGATGGGGTTCCTCTCTAGCAAAGGGAGCTCTTCCTTAATGCCACAGTGAAATCAGTGGCAATGTTGCACAGCTGCACCAGGCTATAAAATCAGGTTTTCTGTGTTTTCCCAATACCAGATGTAATGTGCTCTCAGACCACCTTCATTTCTATCATGCTTTTCCTGGGAGTTGGTGGCAAATTAGCCAAGGGCTGAGCAGCAGACAGGTACATATGGCCAGGAGGTCTCATGCCAGTGATATTCAATGTACAAGGCTGCTTAGCTTACATTTATTTGCACTAAAGAATAAGGCACTGGGCTCCTTTCCAAGCAGCTTAAAAAGACAAGAAAGGAGACCCGTTGTGGCAAGAGACTGTATTAGATCATTAACATTATAAATTCCATTTACAATCCAGCAGTCATTTCATCCATCATTTATTCATGCACAATGGAGAGAGCATCTTGCACTTTTAGGACCATGGTTCTGCTCCTCTATGGGGCTGCTGTGAATGAACAGCCCAGCTCCAGTTTAGGCTGCTCTGCTCTCTGCCTTCTCACCACCCTTCAGAGCCTGCCAAAAAGCAAAAGCCAGCTCTGGAATTACTGGATTTCCATTGTTATTTTTCAGGTGTTGTTTGGGAATGTTGTTTAGCCCCAGCTGATGCAGGCACAAGTTCTGTGTTGCTCTGGAAGCCCAGGCTGCTCTGAGCTTGCCCCCGTGAGTGCAGCAGGGGTGGGGACTATTCCCATTCCATGGATTGGCAGAAGTGCCTTGCCAGCCTGCACCCCTGGCTCCCAGCTCCTGTGGAACCACTCATTAGACCCAGCTGCTAATTAGGAGACAGCACTGTAAGGACTCATGGTCCCACCAGCACTGGGAGGGAGAGACTGGCAGGAGGGAGAGGCTGATGTCCCTCGTGTCCCCACAGAGCCTGGCACAATCCAGTGGCACCTCCAGCTCTCAGCACCCCTTGGTCCCACCCAGCGAGGAGCCAACACCTCCCTCCTGCCCTTCCCAGAGCAGGTGCTAAACTGATAAACAAACAGAACTGTCCCACAGAGAGCCCAGCACAACACAGGGCACAGTGACCAGAGCTAAGGAACACAGACTAGACCAGCCCCTGCCACGCTCTCACATCACCATGATTGGGAACAACAACATGGAAAACAACTACAGCAAACCTTAAAGGAAAAGGGAATAACCAGTTATACCCCACCTTTGCTGCAAAGCCTGGTTTGTGTACAAAGAATAAATTAGAAAAACTTCCACACTCTGAAAAACCCTGAACAAAACATGGTCCAGCTCTTACAGGAGACTTTCCCTCCTTCCCAAGAACACAGGGGACTGGCTTTGCACTGAGAATTCAGTTCCAGCCTTGGAAGCAGCATGGAAGCCTCTACAAAACCCTGGATACTGCTTCATCCAAAGGGTTTTGGCACAGCCTCCAATAAAGTGTTTTACATAAAGTTGTGTTGAGTACATTTCTTTACTGACTTTTCCAAC